TCAGGCAGGACAGCAAATTCAGACAGGAATCGCTGCGCACAGCACAGCTCCGTGTTTGTATTTGGACCACACAATTCTGATCACCCTATTTAGGTCATCCAGGGCAGGGGCTGGAATGAGATGAACTTCAAAGTCCTTTCCAACCCCAACCATCCTGTGATTCCCTGTTCTGTTCGATGGCACAACAGAAGTAGAAAAGGCACAGAAAACAACATCCCAAGGGGAGAGGCTTCCTCATGAGGAGAAGCCAAACTGAGTCAAATCCTCCACTTGGGAAAGAAATGGCTGCTGGTTGATCTGATAAATATTTATTGCAAAAAAAGGGAAAATCAGAGGATCATTGTCCATGGGTTTTTATGATCTAATAAGCAAATACACTTGTTGGAATGATGATGTGGTCCAAGGCAGCAGTGGGAATCACTGCTTCACTTAGTGTAGCTCAGTTCAGGAGTCGCCAATTTTTACATCAGACAAAAGGAAAAGTGGCTTTGAAAGGCAGGGGTTAGACAAATCCAGGGAAAATTAGTTCTGCTAGAAATTATGGAAACTTGAGAAACTCAAAACTACTGACTTCCAGAGGCTGAAGCTCCTAAAATTAAATAATTCTCTATGTATTAGAGAAGTACTTCAACTGCTACTATTAAAATCAGAACCAGGATACAAAGGAAGCCTAACCCTTGTCCAAGCCAGAATCCTGTGAAGACACTGAATTCACACAGGTATAGGGAAAGGTGCTGAGAAACTCTTGGAATGCTAAAAAAAATCAGTGCAATAATTGAAAGGGATGGGAATCACCAGAATTCAAATATGGTGCTTTGGGAAAAATCATGGTGTTTTCCCCTCTTTAAAACAAGATCACAATCCCACTGTGATCTTGCAAGATTTTAAAAATTATTATTATTTACAGAGAGGAAATGATAAACATTTATCAGTCTCCCAACAGCCTTTAAGTGATGAACTTGTGTGACTTAAAATTTAAAATGTGCATAGAGCATTTTAAATTAAGATGATGGGTAACAAAAAAGTGTTGAGAGGACAAAAAAAAAAGCCAGGTTTTGGTAAAATCCTGAGGTTATTTAAAAGGATTTGTTTATTTATAACAAGGGTGTGGTAAATACTTTGAAATGCACATACTTTTAGGGCCTCTCAGAAATCTTTACATGGCACAAATTCAGAGCCCTAAAATCTGGGTGTTTAGAGCACTTTGATGAWCTCTGTGATTTAAGGTTTATTAGAGTTTGAGTGTTGCTGTGGAAAACAAACAGAATTTGAGGGTTTGACAGCTACGGGATGTTAAATGGTCATCAGGAGAACTCGCCATTTAATCTGCTTTGCTGCTAATGACTAATTACACCTSGTGGAGGAGCCCAGCCAGATTACTGAGAAATGTCATTTCTAAGGCCTCTAAACAAAGAGCTTTAAATTTTAATAACCAATTTATTTCTCTCTTCAAAGTATTCCAGTTAATGCATACAAGAAAAACATAGTTTGGGAGCCTGCATCATGCTCCACCTCGGTATTCCAGTCCTGCATCTCACTGGCAGGGAATTTTCTGGGCTTGGCAGTGGTTTCTAAATATTTTATGGCAATCACAGAGCAGCTTCTCATCCCTGAGAGGCAGAAAAGTTGGTCCCACCAAATGTGCTGGTGCTGACCTATAAAAAGGGTCTCAGAAGCCATCAGGAGCAGCTGGGGATGCCTCTGCCAGGGATCTGCTGTGCTGGGCCACAGCCAAGTGTGCCAGGGACTCCTTCCAGGACACTCAGCTGCAATTCCACTGCAGCAGCAGCTCTGGGAGGGGAAGAGTCCCTGTTTGTCCCAAAAGAGGGGGTGGAGAGTGATTGGACGGGGAGAGCTCTCTCTTTGTCCCAAAAGAGGGGGTGGGGAGTGATTGGAAAGGGAGAGCTCCCTGCTTCTCCAAAAAGAGGAGTTGGAGAGTGATTGGAGGGGGAGAGCTCTCTGTTTGTCCCAAAAGAGGGGGTGGAGAATTTTTGATAGGGGAGAGCTCTCTGATTCTCCAAAAGAGGCAGTGGAGACTTTTTGGAAGGGGGAGAGCTCCCTGCTTGTCCCAAAAGAGGTGGTGGAAAATTTTGGATAGGGGAGAGTACCCTGCTTCTCCCAAAAGTGGCACTGGAGAGTTTTTGGAGGAAGAGAGCTCACTGCTTCTCCCAAAAGATGGGGTGGGGAGTTTTTGGATAGGAGAGCTCCCTGTTTCTCCCAAAAGAGGCAATGGAGAGTTTTTGATGGAGGAGAGCTCCCTGTTTCTCCCAAAAGAGGCAGTGGAGAGTTTTTGATGGAGGAGAGCTCCCTGCTTCTCCCAAAAGAGGTGGTGGGGAGTTTTTGGAGGGGAAGAGCTCCCTGCTTGTCCCAAAAGAGATAGTTGAGAGTTTTTGGGGGGTGATAACTCCCTGCTTCTCCCAAAAGAGGCAGTGGAGAGTGACTTGGGCAGCACAGAAATATCTCACAGACCCAGAGGAGTGAACTGGGCCATCACTGGTGCCAAGCACACACAGCCCTGGAGGGGTTGGCCAACACTGGGAGAAGTGGGAAGGGGATGCAATACCTGTCAGGAGGGTGTGTGAAGGAAGGGTCACCAATTTTAGTGTAGGTGAGGGCTCAGAGTGCGGGGAGGGGTATACTTTTGCTAGATAATTTGAAAAAGAAGTTGTTGTCAAGGGTTTAAAGTAACCAAGAGGGAGAAAGAACAGACAAGAATTAAAATGTAAAAACAAAAAAAAAGAGACAGATAATACGTAAACAATACAAGTTGTGGCACATTTTTGCAGAACAATATGGAACAAATGGAGGTMAGAGTTTAGGTAATGAAATCTTTCCTCCCCATCCTTCATCTGAAAGTGTCTGAGGGATGGTCCTGAGATGCTTTTGGAAGGTTCCCCCCAGAACAGGCAGAGGGAGCTCAGGACCTTCCAGGAGGGTGCCCAGTGTTCAGTGTCCTGGGCAAGGCTGGCACAGGGAATTGAGGTGTCCTGAGGGCTCCCTCCTGCTCGTCCCTGGGGCTGGGTCAGCAGCTCACAGCAGCATGGCCCTGGCTACAACAGGGTATTTATTGCAAAATTAAATAAGAGRAGCAGGAAATGCCCAGTTTTCAGGGATAATTGCTGGTGCCTGATCCCCAGGAGTGTGAAAAACCCATCCATCCCTTCCTGGGGGAGGAGAACTCAAGAGTGCCAGGGCAGGAGAGCGCAGGCATGGCTGAGGTGATGCTCTCCTGCCACGCCTCATACACTGGGTGAGGTGGGGAGGGTGGAACTTGCTTGTTTGGAGCAGATCCTCCTGTCTTCTTCTACCTTCTCAGCTTCTCTGCCTCCCTCGGAACACCGGCCCTCCTCCTCCCCGTTGCGCACTTGCCAAGTGTCCTGTTGGGAGGCAACAAATCCAGGGGGTAAATTCTGGGGCCTCGCCCTTTCCCCAGCACAGGGACACAAAACCAACAGAAATTAAGATTTTCCAGAATCAAAAAGTATTTTTTTTCTGTGTCAGCTCCCCTTTTTCAGGCCACAGGGCTCACCTGCTCCGAGTAGTCGTTGCCATCCACGTCGTCGCTGTTGGAATGGCCGCCCGGGCTCTGTACGTCTATTCCATGGCTCTCCAGGATTGCTGCTTCTTCGAAAAAAGCAAATGGATCCCTCATTTATCTGATGCATTGGAGTAATTCAAGCAATTAGGTTGTTTTTATTGCTTTTTTCCAGAAGTTGGAATAATTGGAGGAAGAGGGTTGAGTTTTTAGCCCCTTCCTCTTCACTCTGAATTTTTTGGGAAGGCAGCTCAAGTACAAACACTGCTTTGCCTGAAATCCTTCCCTGCCAACCACCAGACTTGTCTGGGAGTAAGAATCCCTGTTTTCCAGCCAGTCCTATCAGAAATCTGTGCCATTTCTAAGGCAAAGGCATCCCCTGTAAATCTTCCCCCACGGTTTGGACTGGCAGGACTTGAGGGGGTAGGGAGTGGCTGAAAACAAATGGGAAAAATTTCTGAAAACACTTGAGGGATTTGAAAACACACATATCCATCTTCCAGTAGGATCCATTTATCTAAAGCTCCCTTTGGTTCTTTTTTTATTTCTTTCCAAACCTCCTCCCCAAACACAAAACTCCACCCACCCTGCACTGAGTTTGCTTTATTCCCCCCACCCCTGTGAGAAGTAATTTTACTTGTAGAAAAATAAATTTAGTTACACTTCAGAAATGAGCTTCCATGATGTAAAAAGAGGTTTCTTTCTTAGTCAGAAAGAACATTTGAAATAATTAAAAATACTGACAATGGGCAGGTATGGACCTCTRTTCACCTATGTTTTACAAAAGTAATTCTGCATAATATCAAAGTGAGGGCATCACATTTTTTATGAAAGGCAGAAATTTGTTGAATCCTGGCCACTGAGGTGAGTTTATTCTCCTTAAAATGTCTTAACCACATTAGAAATTCTCCTTCTCCCAAGTTCAGATTCACTTTTGATTTTAAGATCAGCTATAAAGCCACAGAGTTAACACTGAAGTGACTTTTGTTTTATCCTGATTTTCAGTTAAAAATGTGGCTTTTTTTCCAGCCACTTTCCCTGGGCAAAACCTCTGTCAGRAGCAGAGGAATAACCAGGAAAAACATGACATTTGTGAACCTGCCAGTATCCCCATCTCCCTTATTTCAAATTTTCAGGTTTCGTTTCAGATCTGAGTTTGGATACTTAAAGGAACAAGGAAATACAACTCCTCCCACCAACAAAATCCTCATTTTGCTTTTAAAGCTGATCTTCCATCCAAACTTCAGAACGCTTCACTTTCCCTGCACTGATGACAGAATTCTGCAAATTACACGTATCTGGAACAACGAGAGACTCATTTTCATAATTCCTCCACGTTTCCCCCRAGGCTGTCAGCACCTCTGGTGTTTTCACTAATTTATTCTTACGTAATTGCCACCTCTCCTGAGCGAGCCCCAGYCCTTGCAGGCAGGCTCTGTGATACATTACCGATATTGGCTCTTCTCTTGATCTCCTTCCTCCTGTTGGCAAACCAGTTGTACACTTTGAGGGAGGTCACTCGCTCCAAATCTGATAATTTCTTTCCTAGGAAAGCAGCAGAGAGGAAAAATCTTAATAAAATTATAATAAAATCATAATAAATTATAAATTCATAATAAAATATAAAATCATAATAGAAAATAATAATAGGAAATAATAATAAATTATAAAATAATTTTTAAAAAATCATAATTGCTGGGTTCCAGAGAAACTGGAATGTGGCTGCCACATCCCTGGAAGTGTCCCAGGCCAGGCTGGGCAGGACTTGGAGCACTCTGTGATAGTGGGAGGTGTCCCTGCCCATGTTACCCCTTCCAACCCAAAATATTCTGGGATTTTATGGGATAAACCCCTGAAACTCAGACAGCACTGGAAAGTTATTAGAAATTACACTAAGTGAGTTTTATATGGATCTTGTGTCCAGGTGCTGTGGCACTGACTGCCAAATATCTCCTTTCTTCTGYTCTTTAAAAATCTGAAATATATGAATTTCTTTGCAGCCACGGGAGAATGAAGGGCTGCTTTTCCAGTTTGAGCACAAAACTGAGATTCCAAGGACTGAAATTCCATCCACAGCCCTGCCACAAAGCCCATCCCTGGGGCTCATTCTCTTATGTGTCACAAGGGTACAGTTCAGTGATTTCCTTCACAAGGAAAATGAATGAAGAAGTTCTGTGGCATCCCTGCAATCTGCTTTCCTTTCTCTCAACCCGCAGCACACATCAAACCCTCCAAACAATCCAGGACACTCAGGATTTTTTGGGAGAAAGGGGGTGGATGTTAGAATCTGGATTGCTGATTTTTACACTTAAACCAGCAAAAAAATTCTCACCAGCTACAAGGCAGCCACCAGAAATTATGCCTTTTTCTGGTCATCAGTATAAAAACCAGAAAACTGGAGGGATTCAGTTTTCCAAGGAYATCCTGGAAACCTCTCCAGTTGCCTTTGACCCTATAAAAACATTCCCCAYATCTGCATCCTCAGCCCTCTGCAGGCTACACAGGGATGAGCCCCCCCTTCCTGCTTCTGATTCCTTCTCAAAGTTTATTTATTCAGCATCCAAAACACCCATGTAATTGCAGCAATCTGCACACTTAAAGAAGTTAGGAAAGATGAGACACGTGAAAGAAAGAAAAATCTGGAAATTGATAGCTTGGCTGCTGCCTAATGCTTTGCATCAGCACCACTGACAATATTTTACCGCTCCCCGACGGCGTTGCAGCACTTTGGTCTAAATTGCTCCACAAACCAGCAGCACAGCCAAGAATCAAATCCTGACCTCTTTGCTCCTCTACCTGAGAGATTTTCCAGGGAATTTTTCAGCAGGTTTTGAGGGGAGAAGTGCCATGAGAGTGCTCTACATCATGGAACAGGGGCCCTGAGGTGGGAAAAGGTCCAATTTTGGAGATACTGAAAAYTGAACAATCTTCCCTAAGCTGGTCCTGCCTCACCCGAAGATCTCCAGAGGTCATTTCCATTCCTAACTGGTCTGATCCTGTGTTTCCTGTCACTGTCCCAGCTCTCCACAACATCCTGAAAGAATAACGAGGTGGGGATTCATCTCTTCTCTCAGGGAAAGAGGGACACAATGAGAGGGGACAGCCTCAAGCTGTACTAGGGGAAGGTCAGGTTGGATATTGGGAACAATTCCTTCATGGAAAGGGTTTTCCCAAAAATTGGGAACAAATCCTTCATGGAAAGGATTGTTCAACAATTGGGAACAATTCCTTAATGGAAAGGATTGTCCAACAACTGGGAACAATTCCTTCATGGAAAGGGTTTTCCAAAAATTGGGAACAATTCCTTCATGGAAAGGKTTGTCCAACAATTGGKAACAATTCCTTCATGGAAAGCATTTTCCAACAATTTGGAACAATTCCTTCATGGAAAGGATTGTCCAACAATTGGGAACAATTCCTTCACAGAAAGGGTTTTACAATAATTGGGAACAATTCCTTCATGGAAAGGGTTTTCCAAAAATTGGGAACAATTCCTTCATGGAAAGGTTTGTCCAACAATTGGGAACAATTCCTTCATGGAAAGCATTTTCCAACAATTTGGAACAATTCCTTCATGGAAAGGATTGTCCAACAATTGGGAACAATTCCTTCACAGAAAGGGTTTTACAATAATTGGGAACAATTCCTTCATGGAAAGGGTTTTCCAAAAACTGGGAACAATTCCTTCACGCAAAGGGTTGTCCAGTCCCAGTGCATCCTGCAGGGATTTAAAAACCCTATGGATGTGGCATTTGGGGACACGGGGCAGAGGCGGGGAATGGTTGCACTCGATGATCCCAGAGGCTTTTCCATCCTAAATAATTTTGTAATTCCACGCGCATGACTCACGCCTTAGTTGCCTCCTCATTAATTTTTATTCTGGTTGTATAAAATCTAAATATATCCAAACCACAAGTTCTGAGATCTATGTAAATGTTTGGTTAGCAAAACCAAGTGAAGGCAGGTGCATCCACTAACACGACACTGAATATTCATGCTCCTCTCCCAATATTCTCTCTCCTCTCCTCTCCTCTCCTCGATTTCTCCAGGAACAGGGAGAACACAACTTGTTGACCTGAAGGTAAGGTCCTCCATTAACTCACAGGTTCTAATACGAGATCCCTGAGTGGAAGCTGCAAAATACTGAAAATCAGGAGAGCTGAGCTTCTTCCTGCACCAAAAATCAGATTTATCAGTAAAATGTTCATCACCTTGGAGGTCTTTTCCAACCCAGATGATTTTGTGATTCTGCAAACACCAATCTGAGCACCTGATTACAAAACCTCTCTGCTTTTGGGAAGGGCCCCCAGCAGCTCCTCACCTGGTTTTTGTATAACTGCATTACAGGCGTTGGCAATTTCTTCTCTCTTTGCCTCGTCGGGATATTGATTCTCATTGAAGTAACTGCAAAATAGGGGAAAAAAACCAGATTTTTTTTTTTATGAATTAGAGCGTGATGGCTCCCAAGCAGCTCTACTAAAAGGTGTCARCTCCTAATTTATGCATCACTCTTCCAGAGGCACCACAGGCACAGTGARTTTTATGGATAAAGGAACATCAGCCCGCATTTATGTCCATGTGAAACCCTCAGAGAGATGAACATTATCTCAACATTTGGAATATTGTACTAGGACACCCAAAAATGCAGGAAATTCTGTGAATATCAGAATTAAGACTGTCAAGTGAAGCATCATGGCTGAGGCACCACAGGCCTTTGACTTTGTTTATTATCATTTATTTATTATTTTTCCCCYGACACACCCCCAGCTTAGGCAGAAGGAGCTGTTTAACATTTATTTTGATCCCTGTTAATATATATTTGTAAATATATACAAATCCATACATACTTTAAATATCTATATTATGCAAAACCCCACAAATACTGCACAGATAGATATGGTGAGGAGATGACACGAAATTACATAGGACAATTTCTAGAGTCCAATTATTTTTTTAAAACTGCAATTTAAGACATTTTTCAATCTTCCTGAGACCACCACATTGAGTACAGCACGTTCCTAACGGTATTTCTTCTGGAATAATTGTGATTTTATTGTACTTTACATGCAGTAAACATCCCATAAAAGTTAAAACTGTTTCCTCTTTTACTTCACCGAACCGCCTTGCAAATTTTAATGAACTGATTTACATTCCACAGGGCTTATCAGATCTGCATTCAAACCAACAAAACCTCCTGTTTACTTCAATGGACTCTGATAATCACACCACAAGCAGGGACCACCGCTGCTTTTTCCTGTAGATTATCCATAATATATAATCCTAGGATTTCTTTTATCGGCTCTGATCAGCAGCAGGTCCGGGCTGTYGGACAGCTGCTCTGGATTGGAAAAGAAGAGATTTCCTCAGCTGCAGATCGTTTGGGAGCAGGAGATTCAGGAATATCGAGGCAATTATTATTTTCAATATTTATATTTYGCATWTWATRRAYTGGCCCCGTTACTTCYGACAGAAATCTGGATTCTGCTCCATACAGAAACTGTTTTTGAGCACTAAATTTGAATTTCAGGTGCTACCACCTCATCCCACTGTTGCCAGAGTMATTTAGAGTCACAGTTATGGCCACAAGTGGGGTTCTGTTTTCAAAAGTCGCTACTCAGTGAGTCAGAAAAATCACCCAGCAGCTCAGAGAGGAAGCACAGGAATTGCTCAATCTTCTCTAAATGAAGGGCAGCTCCTGCCTTAATTTTTAGTGAAAGTGGTGGAAAAGTTGGGAGTTTGTCAGCCAACACTAATTGGAATTAAGGTGACTGTGTAATTAAAAAAAAAGAGTTCCCTGACATGGGATGGTGTCTTTGCTTAGCTTTATGAGAATTTAGAATGAACATCACGCCCTCTGCTCATGGTATTTTTTAAAGTATATTCTCCCCTCTTCCACCTCTATCCCCTTTTTTATGATTTCAGCCTTTGAAGTGATGTGTGTGTCTATCTCAACTCYCAAATTTCTGTTCAAAGGGGTCGTGTTCTGTGCAAAGGTGCGTTTTTGGGGAATGGAGAGCTTGGAAAACAGAKGAAAAAATGCTCAGCATTCCAGTTCCACAACCTCAATCCAATATTTCAGCTCTCCCACCACAAAGCCAGGAATCATTTCCTCTCTGAAACACCCTGAGATAAAGGAACATCACCAGATCCCAGCTGAAAATTGCAAAATTATTATTGACATCGCCTGAGCTGGAGTCCCAAGCAGCAATTCAGGTCATCACCACATGTACAAAAATGAACATTTGTGGAAGAAATGACAAAACATACAGAATTAACCATCAGGGCATCCTTGAACTGCACATTCTGTTGATGGAAGAAACTGAAACATCAATTAATGCAGCAAAGACAACACAAGAGCCATGAGTGACCCCTCTCTCGTCACCTAAATCAATGCTGTCCCTGTACCAAGCCACAGCCAGGCTTCTGCTGCCCCCAACAAACAGCAAAAATATTTTCTACCAACAACAAAACTTCAGATGATGTTTAGCATTCTGGGATAAGAGGAAAAATCCATGTGATGGAGCAAACTTCCACAATTGGACAATGAATGAGATCCCTCTTCCACCAAATGAGGAAGTTTTGTGTATCCCAATAATTTTTGTTATTCAGAAACTGCTGAAACAGTTCTGTGTATCTTATATAATTCTTATCTCTAAACATTTTATAACTGAGTAAGTTGTAAACAGTTCATCTGAGTTGACATATTTTTCATAATTCTGAAACATTTTCTTTAAATTCAAACACAAATTCCTGATCTTTTAATGTCAAACATCTAAAAATTTCAACAAGAAGAGCGATTCTCACTTGAGAATCTGAAATTCTTCTCATCCTAAAGCTCTGATTTATGAAAAAGAATCAAAAATCTCAGTGAGAAGCTGTCAGGCAGCTCTGCTGGTCAAGGTGATGTTTTTGTGGGGATCACAAAGCCAGGTGGGTCCCAGCTGGAAGGGAAGATACTGGAGCAGTTCAAGCTCTGTTTCTGCAGGTGACASAGGAATTTCAGACCCTGCCTCTCCSTCCCCCTGCTGGATGATTCGTTATCCCCATCAATGAGGTGATTTCTCATTTTTCCACACATTTAATCTGCCTGTAAACCCCGCACTCCCCAAAATGGAACCTTCTCCTCATAACAATCCCAGGAAGGTTTGGGGTGGAAGGACCTTAAAGCTCTCCCCATTCCACCCCTGCCATGGGCAGGGACACCTTCCACCATCCCAGGCTGCTCCAACCTGGCCTTGGACACTCCCAGAGATCCAGGGGCAGCCACAGCTTCTCTGGGAATTTTATTCCATTACTCACAGGGAAGAATTTCTCCCYAGATCAAACCTAAATCCACCCCTCTTTGGCTTAGGGCCATTGTTGGGGCTGTACCATTCCTCTCCTTGGCCATATTGTGCTTTTAACCTTTGACAGAGCACAAGCTGCTGTATCAGAGCTCACACCCAGGCGTTTCCATCTGAAAGGAAATGCTCTTACAGCTCCAGGCAACCCAAAATATCCAACCTCAACCTCACCTGCTGATTTTTCTCATCAGCCTTCACATTTCCTGCACATAAATCTCCCAACACATCATCTTTCGTTCCCAGCCCATCAAAATCTCATGGGTGACACAAAACACATTTAAACCCTCCCTYCAKGTGGCACTYRGGGACAATGGTGAACATGATGCYGGTTGACTGCTGGACTCAATGATCTCAAAGGTCTTTTTCACCCCTAATTATTCTATGRTTCCATGATYCYATGATTTCTGAAAAGTAGGTGAGAATAATTTTCTGACAGGGAAGCCATGGAAAAAAATTCAAGACTTCATCACCAGATATTTTGTTTGCTCATGTAGAAGTTGTGAAAACACTGATTTTTTTTTTTTACTACAGCTCTTCCTGTGGTAAATTAATTATTCTGCCTCTAGTTCTGCTCCTTATCAGCCAGGTACACAGGGAAAGAATGCAGGAGATGTCTGAATTCCCCTTCAGAGTAACAAACTCACCCTGTGCACAGTCTGAAAAGTTCCTGAAAGCTACAGATGAAAAATATGAAGCAATATGAACTTAAAAGGAAAGAAAAAAAAAGTAAAGGAGCAGGCACAAGTAACTTCTGCAAAGGCACACTGCTTTCTAGACAAAGGGCAGCTGTCAGCTGAATACCTTCCATGAAGAAACCAAATGATCTCTTTTGTAGGAAATGACAGTGGAGGATTAAAATGAAAAGTGGCCAAATAATTTACATGAGATGAGAATCCATATGATGGTAAAGAATGTAGATATCCTTGAAGCCGTTTCATTTCAATAACACTGGAGCCTAGAAAAATTGCAGATTCAGAGAAACCCTCTTTCTTTCAGGGATAATGTGCTTAGGACAATGATGGAGAGGGAATCCATCTCAGCCCAGGGCTCTGTAATGGAAGCAGAATTCTCCCCCCGGCTCTTCACCAAGGTGCCCCTCTCTGAATTCCTGCAATAGCTGCCAATCTTTTATTTTTATTTTATTTTTTTTAACTTCTATTCTCCAGGCTGAGCTATCAGATGCATTAAGCAATGCCTCAGTAGYGTTGCTGATAATCCACACTGGAAGTTTTGTTGCTTCCTATCAGCTTTGCAGCTGCCAGGGGAGAATCTGACAAGGCAGAAAGACGGGCAGGGTCGGTGCTTTTCCCCAGCACAGGGATAAAATCCCCCCAAAATGGGTCAGAAGTTGGGGAAATGCTTCGTTTAGAGCATGACCTCATGGTTAAAGCTCCCAAGTGTGGCAGCGGTTCGAAGTGGAGAGGGTAACAAGTGGAAAACAGAGCAGAAAACGCTTTTTCCAGTAGTTAGTGATGGAAACAGAAGCTCAGGATCCCAA